TAGAGTTTCCAAGGAACGCCTGGTGGATTCAAACTGCTGACCTTTTGGTTAGCAGATGTAGCTCTTAACCACTAGGCCACAAGGGTTTCCCCTGGCCTACAGGCAGTTCTCAAATCTTATCATTTGAGCCGCTAAAAATTCTCCAAGAGGGCCCTCTCACTTCAGGATAAGATCTGAGCTACCAACTCCAGCAAACAAAGCCCTTTAGGATCTGACTCCCAGAGGCCTCAGCTCTTGCATGCCAGACCACTCCTCTCCTCCCCCACCGCCTCCCAGTTCAACTCACTGTCCCACCTTATCCCTTTCCTTGCCTATAAAAAGCCAAACCAAACCCACTGCCCTTCAGTCGATTCCAACTCACAGAGACCCTAGAACTGTCCCATAGTAAAAATGCCCCATAGGGTTTCCGAGGAGTGGCTGGTGGATTCAAACTGCCCACCTTTTGGTTAGCAGCTGAGCTTTTAACCACTGCGCCACCAGGGCTCCCTTGCTTATACAGTATTCTATTACCTTAAACTCTGGCCACCCTGAGAACAAAGATTTGATAACCCTATCTTCAGTGCTCAACATTATCCCTCACTACTCCCCACCTGACCTAGGTAGGAGTCAGGCTGGCTTTCCTCACCCTCCTACATCATTGCCATGTGTATTTCTGCCACCAGCTCTTCCCACCAGCAGCTCTTCCCTCTTCCTTCTTTGGTCTGAATTGACCTCCCCCTCTACTTTCCCAAATTCTAACCCTGCTCTGTCAAATATGTAGCCACCAGCCACACGTGGCTACTGAGCACTTGAAATTCAACTAGCCTAACTGAGATGTGCTGTAAATATAAAACATACCCTGGATTTCAAAGACCTAGTCTGAAAAAAATATTAAAAATATTGTTATTTTTATATCAATTACCTATTGATATGATAGTATCTTGGATCTACTGGGTTAAATAAGATACATTATTAATTTCATTTGTTTCTTTTTTTAATGTGGCTACTAGAAAATTTAAGGAGCCCTGGTAGCCCAATATTTAAGTACTTAGCTGCTAACTGAAAGGTCGTTGGTTCAAACCCACCAGCTGCTCCGTGGGAGAAAAGGCCCGGCAATCTGCTCCCGTAAAGATTACAGCCTAGGAAACCCAATGGGGCAGTCCTGCTCTATCCTATAGGGTCACTATGAGCCGGAATGAACTAGACGGCACACAACAACTAGAAAATTTAACATGACACATTACATTTCTACTGGACAGAGCTACACAGTCTAACCATTCATGGCCCAGAACGTGCAAAACTTCCTTCCAGAAGCCCTGCTTTTCGCACCTTTCTTAATGATCTTTTTTTGCTCCTTAAAATACTGTGATAGAGTTTACCATATAATCCACTATCTAATTATATAACATACATTTACTATTATTTCTATCTCGTCTTCTTGCTATATCAATACAATTTCTATACTCCTAACTTGGGACTCATAGTAGGCATTCAACTTTCGATTTATACATGGAATCTTTGGTGGGATGAGAGCAATATGGTAATACACCGTGTGGTTTTTTGTTTCTCTTTTGTTTTCCTTACCCATTTACTTTCCCAATGATGATTTCAACAGTGTAGGAAGAACTGGAAGTCAGGCAGCCTAAGTGCTCTTTGTTCTTCCTCTAATTAACATCACACATGGAAACCATTTAGAACATTGCTTGGCACCTAGTAAGGCCTGTCTGCCCTCAGTTTCCCCCGCTGTATAATGCTGTTAGCTGCTGTCAAGTCGGCCTCGGACTCATGGCAACTCCGTGCTCAGTGGAACGAAACAGGGCCCAGTCCTGCGCCATCGCCAAGACCAGTTGCAGATCAGACCACTGTGATCATTAGGGTTTTCAGTGCCTAATATTCGGAAGTAGATCATCAGGTCTTTCTTCCTAGTCTCTTCATTTGGAAGCTTCGCTGAAACCTGTTCAGCATCATAGCAACACACAAGCCTCCACTGGTAGACATGTGGTGGCTGCACATGAGGTGCAGTGGCTGGAAACTGAACCCAGGTCTCTCACATGGAAGGTGAGAATTCTAACACTGAGCCACCACTGCTCCCCTCTGTATAACACAGTTAATAACAGCAATCCAATCTACAATATACAGTCAGGCCAACATATCTGAGCAAGGTCTAATTGGAGTCATTATCATGATACTAAGAAACATTCTACCTTCCACAACTAATTGTGCATTTCTCAGCCAGTTGTCTTAAATGCAGACTATTTTTTTTATGAAGAGAAAACAAATCCATCAACATTGTCAAAAATAAGAAAGGAGGAGAAAAAAACTACCTATCAAAATACTTGTCCTAGCATGGCCCCTGGATTCTCTATCAGCCCAGAACTAAAACAATTTCCAAGGCCAACTCTTCAGACAGGGATTGGACTGGACTGTGGGTCATAAAGTGATACTCGTGAGGAGTTTGCCTCTTGGCTCAAGTAGATACCAGAGACTAAACGGGGAGCTCCTGTCCAGAGGTGAGATGCGAAGGCAGAGAGGGTCAGGAGCTGGTTGAATGGACATGGGGAATCAGGGGTGGAAAGGAGGAGTGTGCTGTCACAGTATGGGGAAAGCTATCAGAGTCATATAACAATGTATATATAAATTTTTATATGGGAAAAAGTTAAAAAAAACTTGTCCTAGCCTATTAATGGCTGGTGACAAGCAGTGGGAGAGGAAACTGTTAAATGCCTACTCCAAGCTCACAATAACCTTTATGAGGCACACACTACCATATGCATTTTACAGAGTAAAGAAACCGTGTTTCAAAGACAGGCAGTAACTAGCCCAAAGTCAATGGTATCATCTTTGTATGTAGAAAAATAACATTTTTACTATCACTTGAAGATAAACTATGTGAAAAGCAGGAATTTTATATAAATATGCAGATAAAAATACAATAGTAATTACTATTCATTTCCTTCAAATAGTTTCCTTGATCTTGGCTTAATTCCTGTCTTTCAGTTCAAGAACACTCTTGTTTTCTAAGTAACCTTTTTTAAAAGTAGCAACCAAACAGATACGTGATGTGATAGGAATTAGTAGGTTAATCCATCATTTTTCTTTTAAGTCTTTAAACTATAGTTGCAGGTGAAAGTTTACATTAAACGTCATGGCAAGAACTCCTCAGGCACATTTTATAAAAATCTCAGCTTCCACAAAGATGACAGTAATAAACAAAGGAAACTGGGTCATTTCACGAACAAATGCATTAACCAAAAACAACATACACCTAAGGAAATATCATAGACCCTCTACATGTTACAAAATTGAGGTCATAATGAGTTCAGTTAAATGATAAAAGAAAGTTCCTCAAAATAAGACACACATCTTAGAGTGAAACCACAATTACACAGACTTGAAAACGATCTACTTTCTTAGAATGCTAAGAGTGTACTGTGTATCTCTATGAAACCAAACTGATCTAGGTTGAAGTGATGCTGCCTTTATCAAATGGGGCCAACTTAATCTTGTAGACTTGAACAAGAACAAAGTCTGAGTTCTCTACCATATACACACAAAAAAAGTTCCAAAGTATCAAATGCTTTAAAACACTGCTCAACTCTCCTTTATCAAAAACATCCCTGCAGTAGGTGTTAATCAGTCACTACTGACTAAGAAGCCCGCATAATGCGACTTGTGTGTGCATGGCACTTTACTACAGGAAGTAGAGAGTTCAGCTTACCAAGAACACCACATTTCACTTTCAAAAGTCTTGAAAACTTACCCCTCTAACGGTAACCAATTTACATTTCATTCCAAACTGAACAAGACAGCGTAATTTTAAAGAATCTGCAATTGTGAATAACTTCCCTTGGCAAAATCAGATCTCTTTTTCTTTAGAGGCACTTCACAGAGTATAAACAGAAATAATTAGCGACCTTTAACGTCATGAACAAGATCTTTAAATTCTCACGTATAAAATGAATTATTTTATGCCATATTCTCTCATAGTCACATGAAGACTATGTGTCCTACTAGATCAAGTGATTTTTGCTCATTTTAAGAATGAAAAAGACATCTAGAAGAAACATTTTTTAAGTTGTCCTTTTCTCGTTCCCCAAATACACAAAGACAAATCCGTCTAGAGACAGCAAAGGTGTTTTCATCCTAATCAAAAGTTAACACTAAGGAGGTAAGAAAATAGAAAACAAAACATAGCCTCAGTAAGCCAGCTACAGGTCACATGCTGCAGTGACAGGAAGCCTTGCGGACACCTCACACTACAGAGGTGAGCTTCATCAGAGGTCAACTCCAGGCCCACCTGGACTCCCCAGCACCTCCACCCAGCAGTCCCCAAAATCCAGGGAGGCACCATAACCATCACTGCTACACTGGCAATGAAGGGAAGCAGCCTCCCCCAACTCAGGAAAGCCTCCACTCCTGCCAAGCAGGCACAAGGAGCCCCTTCATACCAAAGACACAAAGAAACTCAAGCAGCCAGACCCAAAATGAAAATAAAACTTAAAAGAGGGGCATGGGAAGGGAGACGACAGTTAAATTTGTTCTGGGACCACTTGGTGGCTCAGTCTAGTTGGGGTCGCAGACTCAAAAAAAAAAAATTAAAAGGGGAGAGAGAAGATGACAGTTGAATTAAATCTGGTAAATCTATGCTGGGACCACTTGAGGTCCCACTCTGTTTAGGTTCTCAGACCGTGTACGGGGACGACTTGGGGGTCCAGTCTGTTTGCTGAGGAGGGAAGGGGATGGTCACAGCTGTGCCCGGCCTCGAGGTTACCTGGGAGGTGGACGTCGGGTGATAATCTAAGTTTACACTCAAGGCGGCAGGGACGGTGCCCGCGAGCCAGACTGCCCCCTTCCCAGGGAACAATGCCTTGGGGGTCCCTGCCCCGACCCGGAGAGCAGGATCCGACGTCGCCGCCCCAATGCCCTCGACTTCCCCGAGCCGTCGACCCTCAGGAGACGCCCTCCCGGCAGGTGTCCGAGGCGGTGCTCCCCCGACCCACGGCGCCCCGACGCGAGCTCACCCAGCAGCGCCCGCAGGTGCTTCAGGCGGGTCAGGACGTCCTTCTTTGGATCGAGCACCTTCTGGGTGGACTTCTTCACATCTCCGTGGCTCCTTCGCGAGAACATCCCGCTGTGGGAAGCCCAGGCCCCGCCGGCGGGGCAGGAGGCGCCTGCGCCGCGCGAGTCACCGCATAGGGTCGGAACAGTGCTAGTTGCGGAGCCGCTCACAGCCCGTCGCCCGGCGCCGAGCGCCTGCAGCCTCGTCAACTGTGGCTCCAGGAAGAGGGGGCGGGCCGGCCAGGCGAGGGGCGGAGCGGGAAGGCGGTGTGGACCCGAAACGACGGCCCCGCCCCCCGGGAGGTGCCACCGGACCCTTGGGCGCGACGCACGCGCGCTCGGCCAAGACCCGCCTCGCGGGACACCCGTCTGCCTGCGCCGGAGGCCCGCGATTTCGCCCCCGGAGCGCCGATCCGGCGCAGCGAATCGCAGAGGAGCTCGTACCCACAGGCCCGCCGTACTACAAGCCCCGGCATGCACCGCAAGGCGGTCCTCCCACCAGACTGGCGCGCCCTCGGCTCGATGGGAGTCAGTGGGCCGACTCCGAGCATGTACCCCGCCCAGCCGCCCCGCCGTGGGCCGCAAGCACTCTGGGAAATGTAGTTCTCCAGGAGACGAGGAGCTGCGTGCTCCTCAGTGTTCGAGGCTTCGGGCCACAATCCTTCCGTCCATCCCCTGCTCCGAGAGGCCCAGGGCGCCTAAACTTTCACGCTCCCGTCTGCGTGCCCTCCCCGTTTCCCCATAGTGCAACGTGAACCACAAAACATTTCAGTAAGAAAAGTTTCAAGGCTTTGAAAATGCAAACCATTTTAAGGTTTGGCTTCTGGATTCACACCAGGGTGTGAGCAAGTTGAAGCTCCTTTGACTGTCACACTAAAATGAATGGCTTTGACAGTATGGAAGGGCATGCCCAGGCTCTGGGTAAGAAGTCCTTGGATCTATGGACCCAACCTCACTTAGTGAAAGGGGTTGCTCTCCAAGTGCGACCGGGAAGGGCGCGGAAGGCGCCTCTGAACCTTGCAAGCTCCGAAGGAAGTGCATGTTGTCAGTGTTGTGCAAGGTCACATAGCAATCCAGCAACAGAACCAGATAGAGCACCTGAGGGACCTCTCAGGCAGGCGTGCTTTTGAAGGCCGGGCGCCTGTTCCCTGAGGCAAAACTTTGAGGTGGAGGATGGTCTGGCGATTTCTTACAAGAGCTCTGTAGAATTATTTACTGGCATCTGTAACCTTTGATGCTTCAAGCCTGGACACATTTCAGCTTTTTCGACAAGTGCTTTAGGTGACTGTTTAAAAATCATGGGATTTCCACCCAAATTGAGGCGACCCAACTGTCTTTAACCTCCAGATGAACTGTAACTTGTGGGAAGAGCCAAGGATTTATAAACCTTCATATTCTCATTGTCCCTAAGTGCTGCAAATAGTTAACATGCTAAGCTGTGGAAAGGTTGGAAATTGGAGTCTACTCAGAGGCGCTTTGGAAGAAAAGCCTAGTTCTACTTCCGAAAAATCAGCCATTGAAAACTCCGCGGAGAACAGTTCCACTCTGTCACAGGTGACGTCGCCATGAGTTGGAGTTGCCATGAACCGGGATTCATTGGACAGCAACTGCTGGTGGTCTGTTCCCATCACTGAGCACAGTACTTGCTTCTTGAAGGGCTCAGTAAAAGTTTGTTATAAATTTGGAATAAAAAACTAAAATAATCCTATAAATTTCATTCAGGCATGCCAAACGTTATTCTTGTGTGTTGTTAGAGCCTCTCTCGATTTTTAGAGTTGTTAAAATAGCATTGATAGACCTGAGATATACAAAGGAATATTATTCAGCAACAAAAAGGAACAGACTACTGATAAGCACAACATGCATGAGTCTTACAGACCCAGAGATGAAAGCCCCTTACTCAAAATGATGGCGGAGCTGCCTTACCAGCCTTGGTCTTCAGACGTCACCATGAGTCAAGACCACAAACTCTCCCAAGACTATTACAAGGGAAAAAAGCCTCCTCTCTTAAGGCAAGGCATTTGGGCTTAGCCTGTACCCTATCACACATAGTAAATTACAAAGTTCACTGCTATTCCCTTAGAAGAAGATAATGTTCATTACACTGATTGAAAAAATAGAATGCACTTATCTTAGGGAGTTCAATTTTTCTATCACAAAGCAAGTTGCCATTATTATCAAACATTTATTGAGCATCTGCAATGTACAAGGCATGGTTCTAAACCTTGGGGTAAAAAGACATACAAGATGCAGCCTCCTAACCTCAAAAGCTTCCGATCTATTTGAGGAGGCAGAGCAAGTAGATAAATGAAAAGCTAAATGACAGTGTGCAGTGAAGATGTGACACTGTTAAAACTTGGTAGTACCAGAAACAGAAGTGCATGTAGATTCAGCCCACCCATCATATCTAGCCTTTACTTACTAATCAAAATGTAAAACTCCCAGGTATCCTCCAAAAAAACCAAAAACAAGACATGTAAATTATTTTGATGCCTATTATGAATTGAATTGTGTTCCTCAAAAGTATGTGTTATGAATCCTAACCCCTATACCTGTGGTTATAATCCCATTTGGGAATGGGTTTTCTTTATTATGTTAATGAGGCAGTATTGGTGTAATGTGTGTCTTGAATCAATCTCTTTTGAGATGTGTTGATGTTGTCGTTAGGTGCTGTCGAGTCAGTTCCAACTCATAACGACCCTATGTACAACAGAACAGAAATGGGGTAAAATAGATGCCATGCCACATCATGATCGCCATGATTGCCAAGGAATAGAAGCTGAAAAGAGACAAGGACCTTCCCCCAGAGCCAGCGGAGAGAGGAAGTCTTCCCCTAGAGCCAGCACCCTGAATTTGGACTTCTAGCCTCCTAAAATGAGAGAGAAAAAAAATTTATGTTTGTTAAATCCACCCACTTGTGGCATTTCTGTTGTAGCAGCACTAGATAACCAAGACAATGACTTTTCACCCACATGTAGATTCTATATAGCTCTTCTAATTCCATCGTTCTCTCTAATATCATCCCTGCTAGACTGTGAACTCATTGAGGATACCACCTGCTTTGCAGTCAGTTCTTTTTCCCTGGAGTTTCAGAGTTCCAAGTATTTTGCAGGGAACTTAAGTGTCTGTTGAATTAATGTGCCACTTTTAACTCCTGGTGTCCTCCCTCTTGCATTAACAAATAAGAATAATGAAATTAAGAGTTAAAAACTTGCAGTGAAAATTAAAACTACCCTGAAATACCATCTGGATTAGCAAAAAATACCAAAATCTGAAAACACATTCTGGTGGCAAAGTTGTAGAAAAACACTCTTCTAATAGCTGGCAGGAGTATAAAATGGTACAACTACTATGGGGGTGGGGGGGTGTCTTAGTTATCTAGTGCCGCTATAACAGAAATACCACAGGTGGGTGGCTTTAACAAACAAGTTTATTTTCTCTAGAAGTCCAAATTCAGGGTGCCAGCTCTAGGGAAAGGCTGTCTCTCTATGTTAGCTCTGGAGGAAGGTCCTTGTATTTTCTGAGCTTTTGCTTCTGGGCAATCTTCATGTGGCTTGGCATCTCTCTTCTTGCTTGTCTAATCTGCTCTTTTTATATCTTGTAAGAGATTGACTCAAGACACACCCTACACTAATCCTGTCTCATTAAGATAACCAAGACAACCCATTCCCAAGGATTATATCTACAGGCATAAACCAAAAACCAAAACCCACTGCTGTCCAGTCCATTCTGACTCATAGCTACCTCATAGAAGGTTAGAATTTATAACACATATTTTGGGGGGACACAATTCAAACCATAACGTGTAGGCTGGGGGAAATAACATATTATTTGTCCTTTGACCTTTCAATCTTACTTCTAGGAATCTACCCTGAAATATACCTCCACAAATAAGAAACCACACGTGGAGGATTATTCAGATTGTACCTCCTTAGAGGGATACATTATAAGGGCAAAAAGGTCGGCAAAGAAATGTTAACTACTATAGGAAACCAAGATTTTTAGTGTAAGAGAAAGGAAATACACAAATATCAAATCAAAGAAATGAAATAAAAATTCTGTAATGTTAAATTTTACTTGGAAATATCAATTTGAGTTTGTGGTTTAAAAACACACACATGGGTGAAGGTTCATTCTGTTCCATACAGATACGTAGTTCTTGGAGCAGTATTTGCGAAAACTTTCCTTTTCCCTATTGTATAACTTAGCACCTTGGTCAGTTGACCAATTTCTGAACTCCCTGTTCTGTTCCATTGATCTAGTTGCCTACCCCTAGACCATAACTCTACTGTCTGGACTACTGAAGCATTATATTTTATGTCTTGATTTCAGGTATTGTATGTCCTCTTTGTTCAAGATTGTTTTGGTTATTCTAGGTCATTTGCGTTTCCATATAAATTTTAGAATCAGTTTGTCTATTTCTCAAAAAAAAATCTTGCTATGTTTCCTAGCTCTGGTCTCTGAAGGGGCCTAGAAGCAACGGTACCCTGCCAGCAATGGGCACACCTAGTGCCCAGATCTTGGTTTCCAAGCCACCCAAAGGAATCAAGGCTCTTTGGAGAAATGGCTGATTCTAAACCTGGGGCAAGAAAAATACGGAGTGAATGTAAGACGATGTCCAAAGACCAATGGGAAAGTCCCTAAAAGACACAGGAGTCAGCTTGAAGGGGCTCCTTATGGCCAAATATGGGATAATTTGATCATTTAAAAGAATAATGACTGTGATAGATTATAATACCTTGAATAAATAAAAATTCAGCAATCCATTATGATAGTCAAAAAAAAATTATTTTTCCAATGTACTTGGTAGTGTTTCAAGCAGAAAACAACAGAAATCAAATTTTTTACACCTTTAATAAGTCCAGGACATTTTTTTAAAAAAGAATATGAGCCCTTTCTCAGTAATAAATGGGAAATATGATCTGAACCATGTGCTTGCTTCAAGATCCCAGCCAAGAAAAGCGTGCAGGGCCTTATCATCCCCTCCCTGCATCATTTACCAGAAATGCATCATGCTTTACTGATGACACCAAATTGGATTCTGTTGTTCAGGAAGACAGTGACCATGACAAAGCAAGTAATTGGGATGACAGATCAAGAAGCACCTAAGAATAGAAACACTCACAAACGCTGTTTTTGATGTTATTTGCATAAATTCAAATCAACAAATATTTGTTGAAAAACTTCTTGTTAGCTGCCCTTGAGTAGATCCTG